TGGACGCACATGTGCTAAACTTTCTTGCCAAAAAAATAAAAACAATCAAGGAAAGTGGAAGATTTTAAAACTGGCTGGCACACACACGTTTCTAACTAACAACTATAACTTTCTCCAGAAAATGAACACCAAAACACAAACAAAAATCTTTTTTTTTTCGTTGCCGTTTCTTAATAGCTTGGTGTAGTGAAAGAAAAGTTGCCAAGAACCTCCACGAAATGAGCAACAAAGAGCTTGACCTATCCAGAAGTTAAATCCTGCTTGCGAAGCACTTTTTCAGTACCCAAAGCGAGCCGTGAAATTTTAAGTTAAAGTTTGGTACGACAACTAGCCTCTGGGGGTCAACAAAATTGAAGGAATAATGAAAGAAATTTCTAAACTAGCGTCTCTTTCGAGAATCTACACTAACCATAGTGTCAGAGCCACTGCAATCACGCTGTGGTCCAACGCGCAACTTCCATCGCGGCACATAATGGCTATCTCTCGTCATCGCAGTGAAGCTAGCCTGAGGAATTACAACACTCGTCCATCCAGTGAACAGCTAAGGGCTTCTTCAGATATCCTCTCTAGTGCATTGAATGGAATAATTTGGATATATCAACAAAGTTGAAATGGTAAATTGGCCACCGTAACGATTACAAAAGCTGACGTTTCGAGCGTTAGCCCTTCGTCGGAGCCATTCCATTGAATGGAAGACCATCGCAGCCAAGTTCCTCTGATGCAGCCACCAGTTCAGAAAATCCTCACGCTGCTGTAAATTCGACTGTTATTTATTCACAGAACAACACAGCGCAGCAGTTTGTCAAGTTCCAACCACAAGATTTAAGCAGTTGTTTTCAAATTGTCACGTTGATAACGTCCAGGTTTTCATGGGCCAAAATTCGGCCGGATTTCATTTAATCATGTTACTACAGATACTGGTTTTTGTACGAAAAAAATGTACTTTTATGCATTCGAATTATTAAGCAAGATTTGCGATTCTTCGTGATAGCTCTTGATGGTTTGACATTTTGACAGCTTTGGTCTTGTTCATCCAATCAAGTTAGGTCGCCCATTCTAACAAGGATTCTGATTGGCTTATTGTAAGCGTGCTCTGTCAGAGTATAGAGCATGCTGACGACACTGCTGTTCGCTTTGAAAATAAAGTTTGTTTGGAAATTGCAAGTAATGTGTGGGGAATTTAACGGATTCTTTATTATAAAACAAATGGAGAAGCCTTGACTGTGCTCTGCTCTGTAGTAAGGCACTTAGGAAGCGGCTAGAGCACTCAAGAATTGGGGAGAAACACTCGACTACGTCTCGTGTTTCTCCCCACGCTTCTTTCGTGCTCTAGCCGCTTCTTGCGTGCTTTACTACAGAACAGAGCACAGTCAAGGCTTCTCTATTTGTTAAATAACAACCGTCCATCTAGTTTGATTTGCAGGCCCGTCAAAGTTTCAAGTCCCGTTCAAACCTAAATTTCTTTACGGGCTTTATTCAGTTCATAGTCCCACAACTACTGTAATTAGTTCAGCGTTGAAAGAGCAATCATGCCCCTTTTATCAAATTTTTTATACTGTAGCTCAAGTGAAAAGATGTTTTTTTTTTGTTCCCCTTGTTGTATTGTTTTCATTACGAGTATCATTGCAATCAGTGACAAATTCCAAGTTGAATGGATATCTCAGTAATCAGGTGTTGGATCCCCCCACTCAACCAACATTAAATGAGTGTGTAACTCACGATAATCTTTCTCCTGTTGCTACAGAATGTTACCATAATTCACGTTGTCAAAGTGGACGAATCTGTAAAGATGGGCATTGCATTCGATATGACACCCGCAATGACTCCTCCAAGATCTCGTTGTCAAGTAACACCATACTCTATGTGACTGGAGCCATCGCAGCCCTGATGTTTCTCTGTTGTTGTTGTTGCGTGAGGCAGTACCTAAATGGAAGAAATGATAACGTCAGCCGCGGCACTGCGGTTACGATTGTAACCATGAATGGAAGTTCCAGAGGAAGAAACGTCCACCAAAAAAGGAATGTGCAAAGAGTGGAAATGAGCTCAGTGAACGAACAACCGGAACGCGAAGAATCATGTAATAAAATATCTTCTCTTGTCATAAATGGTGACCCACGATCATGCAGTGAAGCTGGACATGAAAATGAAGCACCTCCACCAAGCTACGAAAAAGTCACGAGGGCGTCACCGGTGACTGTTTTTCCAAAAACCTCGTCAACTAGAAACTTCTGATGTTGGTGATTTTAGTTATGTTGGCACTCCCACTGCGTACCATATTTCTTTCTCCAAGACTCCTTGGGCTTCCTTGGGCGTTTGATTCCCGAGCTTGGCGAAACACATGATTTGAGTTTTTTGTTGTTGGTTCTCGTTATTACCTCGGTAAAAGGTTTTCTTCCGAATTTCTTCGGAATTTCTTCCCTCAGCAAAAATCAACTATCTGAATTTAAATTCTACCTGAAAACAGAGGACGAGAGTGGTCTCTTTCAGTTTCGAAATGTCCAACACTTTTTTCTGTTATGTTTTAATTTCTCAGACTCTTGTGCACTTTTGTTACCCTTCACCGCGGTGCAGATTTGTCATCGACGCTGATTATTGTGTTTCTCTATGAAGAGCGGAAGAAAGGATGCAGAGTGGTGTACTAATCCACGACACCATTAAGAACGGAAACGTGGCAGCCTTATTTTTCTTTGTCAATAGCTGTTCACAAGAGATTTCTTGCTGTTTTGCATATGTTATGCACATTGCTATTTGATGAAACGGCTTGAACAGTTTTTAAGACCTTTTAACGAACAATAAATTTCCATTTTTTTTTACTTCGACAATTTTCCCATTTAGATCAGTTCTACATACGAGAGCAAATGCATAAAACCTGCAAGGAAAAGTGCTGTGAATTTCAGAAAAGTCGGCAGCCGAACGAAGAAAAAAAAGTAAAACGAAACGGAAAACCCTGCAGTTGTTTTCGTTCTTTAGCCTGTCTTCCCTGTATTCTTTATCTTGTACATTTAAGAAAATGCAAAATTTAGTTCATGGTGTCCACTATGAGCTGTGTACGTGTAACTTTCCAAGAGTAGCATTTGAGACACAACGCTTTCCCATCTCTGGGAGTCAGAGTAGCGAGTTTTGTTCTGTTATTTAACCAATTCAGTACGTGACCGTTTAATATTCGTTATCAACTTTATGGCCATTATATCGACAAGTGACACATAAATAATGAACAAGTATTGAATTAAGCTAAGTGATAAAATTTCGTGGAAAAGGGAAAATGTCAGAGTAAGTTTAGGTCTGTTTCCCTTGGGAGTAAAGCACTTCAAAACGTGACCATTTAATCTTCTCGTTCAACTTTATGGCCATTTTATCGACAAGTGACACATTGTTAATAATCTGACTGTGAATAAATTTCGTGGAAAGGGAAGATGTTAAGCATACAGTGGGGAGTCTGTGAAACCTATCCTTCAAGCTTTCAATCTTCGTTTTAGATCATTTTTTTGCCACGGAGATGGCCTCCACTCTTTAACCATGTGGAATTGGAAAAAAAGGGTTCCTCCGGGATTTATCGGGTAGTTTGTTTAAAGTTCAAGCCTGCTATGGAATGTGACCAACACAGTGTCATCCTTCGTGTAAGATTAACTATAGTCCAACTCTTGGCATTGTCCAGACGAAGGAACATTTGTCTGGCTACTTTTTTTTATCTTCTTTGATCCCCTAAACCTAATGGTTGACCCCCAAAAATGTATGTTTATTTTCTCCTTTTGTCAGTTGCGGCGAAGATTAGTGATAAAGAAAAAATCTGATAAGTCTGCCCTGGAGCACACGTTAAAAATAACAAAAAATGTTTGTTCACGTTTTCGACATTATTTGGTAGTTTTTATGACCAAAATTGGGAATGTGAAATAGTACAAAAAGCCGGAAAACACAAAACTGTAAACACAACCAGCTGTTGTACGAAAACTAATTATGACTGTTACTGAGCCGGTTAACCCTGAGGCCAAGTCGGTTTAACAAAAAGAAAATAAATAAACACATGAAGACAAACCTAAATTTATAATTTTCTCAAAATCTTCGGCACTGTTGTCCATTTATTTGGCTGTCTCCGCTAGTTTTAGCCGTTGATACGTTTACTGAACCCCAGTCCTCAACATTTGCACAGCGCGCGGATCGAAAATACACTGAACACTTACAAATTATACATTGTTAGAAAATGTATTGTCTTTGATATATTTTTCCGTTTATTTGCCATAAGATGAAAAAGAGTTTTCCTCAAATGCTAAGCCTATTGAATGTATACAAACTTGCAAATTATGCTTAAAAGCTTAACGAGATCAGCATGAATTGAGTAATGCTTTGAAACGTGTTGACTTTTGTAACTATTCATAAATTAGAAACTTCTGTCGCAATTTCGTCTTGTTGGTTCAGTTAAACGTTGCTTTAGAATTTCAAACCGAAGGTAAGGATGGTGTAAGTTCTGGGGAGAAAGACTAGTTTTAGAGTCAGTAGCCAGAAACTCAGTCGGTGTTTGTCATAAAGTCGCCTATCGTCTTCAAACGAATAAAAACTGATAGTTTCAAGAGAAACCGTGTTTGGGGCTGCGTCTGTGGGGGCGAAGAAGGGCTAACGCTCGAAACGTCAGCTTTTGTAATCGAAACGGTGGCCAATTTACCGTTTCAACTTTGTTGATATATCCAAATTATATCGCCTTCAAATACTATTACTTCACCAAGCGGAAAAGAAGGAGGCGGGAATATTGGGTTTGTTGCGGACGGTGCGAACAAAGGAATTATTACAAGCGGAAAGAGATAGCGCAGCCTAGGCAAACAGAAATTAGAGAAAATGAGTTTACATTTTACAGTAGGGAAGTGCGTGATTCTCTCCAGCAAAACGTGCCTGAACACGTCATTTGAAACCTTCTGACTTAATCACTTGGCAGCATTAAACGCAAATCTATTGCGCGTGAATTGAATGCTTCGACGGATCTGTCTTGAATAATTAGTTCCCAACATCAATGCGGTTTTCCACCCATTGGGCGTCCGACACCGCAGCGCCTCGGACAAACATGTGTAAAGTCATCCTGAGATTGAGGAATATCGCTCATTAGAGGTTATTATTCAAGGTGACAACGTGCTTCCGAAACCCATTTTGAGACAACAACAGTAGAACAGCGTTGATTGATAAGAACATTAATATTTGCATATCTATTATTTCCTGTTATTAACACCTGCGAGTCGCGCTCGTGGCATTGTTACCACTTGTCGAGGTAGTGTGTAAATGAGCAAAGTTCCGAGTGTGTTTACCAAAACGAATAACTTCACCGTCTTTATGGGGGGACCACGTTGATCTCGCAACATGAAGAGATGCATTAAAGTGACAGTCTTTTGCCAAGTCCTGCTGTCGACGGTATGTGAAGTTAGATTGGGTTCATTGCCTAGCTGTTTTAAAGAATTCAAATGCCCTAACTCGCAAACGTGTTGCGGTAACGTTTGCGTTGCATCTCAAGTTTGCAAAATCGAGTGTCAAGAACAGGCGGATTGCGATAAATTGGTAGACAACCACGGATGTGTTGCTGGATTTTGTGAGTGTCCTCCATCGTCACCTTGTATTAACATATCAACAATTCGTGACAACGAGTCAAGTCCGTCTTGTGCAACGGATTTTAATTGTACGAAACTTGCGAAATGTCGCAACTGGACCTGCGTAACTAACGATGGACATAGTAAAGAGTCGCCGTTAAACCCGGCGCTTTTAGCAATTGTGACAATCATCGGCGTTCTCGTGTTCTCTTGCCTTTTCTGCTGTTGTTTAAGCCGAATGAAAAGTGAAAGGCATTCAATGAAAACACGAGTTGCCAAAGGTAAATTAAAGAGAGTTCACCACCTTGGCGAAGACGCCGATAGCGCGGCAAAAAGCGCTTTGGTTGGTGTTGAGGGTCAGGCTTCCCCGGTTAAAGATGGGAAAGATACAAAAGAACTCGATGCAGAGGACGAAGCTTTAATTTCTATTGTAACTGGCGGACCTGCTTTGGCTCCAATTCGCGAAGAAGACGAGGGAGATGACGAAGCAGAGAAGGCTTAGAAAACAACTTGAAAACAGCTGTGTTTACCTGACGGGTGAAACATGATTATTGCGCCTTCAAAAAGAGCTGAAAACTCACTTGATTGGTTGCCATCGACGGAGAAGCGCGACTAGCGTCGATGGAAAGCAATAAACAGACAAAATCATGAGTTTTCAGGCATGAAAAGCTCGTAACAATCATATTTCCGTGCAAATTAGCACGTTATTGATTAAAACTCGCACTGTTGGTTAATAGCACAGCTTTTTTCGCCTGTGGTTCTTGGGGATGGTGTCGGTAAAAACCAACGAACGTGAAGGTGGATATTGCAAGTTATTATGCCCTGTTTTTTAATCAATTCTTAAACCACGCAGCTTTTAAATCTGCAATTGAAATCTGCGGTTGTCATTTGAAGTAGATTTGGCCGTTTAGAGCAAAACAAAAGTGGAACTTGTCGAAATCATACATCTTCATCTATTTTCCAATTCTCATTTGGTTTACAAACTAGAATTTTCTTTTGACATGATAATGAATTAGGCGACTGATAAGAATTGAGTTTCGACACAGTGTTATCACACGCAACCTCGGATAGTAGTAGATAAATTTATTTGTCAAGATTAAAATGAACTGACTGGCCGCGCATCGTTGTTGCCTATGCCCTCAGCTGTTACAGAAAGGAAAATAATGGAAGAGAAATTGGGAATAATTTATCACGGACGTGCCAACAGATTAGAACTTCCATTTCGAAAATGATATAGGTGTCATTTGAAGAAAACGAAAATATATTACAACTTGATCAAAACATTTTATAAATTAAAAGTATTACAATGACGAAAGGGTATGCGGTATTTTGAAAGGCAGATTAAAAAATCTACACGTTAGTAATTAATTCGAAATGCGATAACCAGATCTAGAGCTTAGATCCCACCGTGAGCTCAGCAGATTGCCGGTTACGACCGATTTAAATTAAAGCCATTATTTTGGAAAAAAAAAATTGAGTTGTTTTTTCAGCAATGACTTTCTATTTTCGCTCGCGCGGGGCCAATACTTCACCTTTAATATGAGGATACATTACGCTATAAAGCTTGACCCGGTATGCTGCAGATGATGTCATAAATTGCTAAAAATTATATTTGTATGATAATGAATAAAATTGCATCTTTGGCTTAAAAGAAAAGAACTAGTGAATATTTATTTTGATGATAATGGTGTTGTCGTAGTTATGACAAAACTTCGACGAGGTGATCAAATGTAGCTCAGAAAATACTCCAAAAATGTATAAATCGTATTTATATCTGAAAAGAAGAGGAAAGATGTCTTTTGACGTTAAACTTGGATCAAAAGTCTTCCAACCATAGAAAATAGTGAATGAATTTTTTCAGATCTCAAGAGTGTCGGCTAAATAATTGATTCTACGACCGAAAACTGTTTAACACAGTCTATCGACTTGCCTGATGCCATGATGTTGAATACGGCTTTACTGAGGGGGGCATTGGGGTTTGCGGTTTGCGGTTTTGCGGTTTTGGCTATTTTTAGATCGGTTTTTCGGTTTTTGTGCCAAAAAGCGTCCGTTTTTCGGTTGTTTTTTGTTCATTGCGTTTTGCAGATTTTTCGCTTTCAGCATTTGGTTGTCGATTTTCGTAAAAATTTTGACGAGTACTCGGATTTGGTGTCCGATGTGCTTTTTCGGTTTTTCATATTGGGATTCCGGTTTCTCTTCAATCTGAACAGCAGTTATACGCCTCTGCTCGAATAGCCGTGAAACCTATGTCGGCTCCTCTTGTAGCCACAGCATCAGATCGATTAGGATTTTGACTATTGAGATGTGCAAATTTATCGGTTTAGACGGTTTTGCATGCGGTTTTCGGTTTTAATAGAATTTTTTTTTGCAGTTTTGCGGTTTCTAATAGACCCCAATGCCCCCCCCCTCCTCCTTACTTGGAGAATTTCTAACCATGTTTTATTTATTTATTTATCTACTTAGCTTCCACCCTTAAAACATACAAATAACATAGATACAATGAAATAATATGATAAGATAATAATGATGATAACAAAAGGGGGTGAGGAACGACACAACAGAGCGAGACTCCAAATTAAGTGCGCCCAAAAAGAAAAAAAAGAAAAAAAATTTAAAAATAGATAAAATATCGAATTACAAAACAACATTAATATAGAAACTCTCTTTTTTTTTATTTTCCCTTCCACGAATTGTTTTTGAAGGTTGGGCGCATGTTTGTAAAGACTTACGTATTTGATATTTTCCACTCTATCCTATTATGTTTTGGTTTGGTTTTTGGTTCAAGTCTATAATTTTGACTTGTTTTAATATTATATGCGGGTATCACCGTTATCAGTGGAGACGAGTCGTTCATAGCGTCACTCAGCAATTTTTCCACCGCTTTTATTTCTAACATTGCTACGCAGTGGGATGAACACCCCTCAACCCTTCGAAAATTCTTAAAGCCGGATGCTTCAGCTTTGATTTCTCATGTCCTCCTTGGTGCATCCTTTGAAAACACAAGCTGGTCTCGAAGTGGGCAGCTGAAACGAGTGAGCGGAATCTGCCTCCACCAAAGTTCTTCAACGCAGCACGTATATTTAATCTAACGTTACAGATTCC